ACTTAGCATAATGACTTAGAGACCCTAGGTGTTAGTGAAAGTGCTGAGTTTGTCCTTTTTTATTACTATGTAGTATTCTCATTTTGTAAACATAACGTGTATTCACCATTTGGGGGACATTTGGATTTCCAGTGGACTAAATCTGAACAAACATTTAGCATAGGTTTTGTGTGAACATAAAATTCTTATTTCAAAAAAAATAAAATGAAATTCTCATTTCTCTGGGGATGGGATTGTTGGCATATGGAAAGTGTATAATTGACTTCATAAGAAAACTCAATCTGGTTTTTTAAAGGTTTGTACCATGCTGTGTTCTCATCAGCAACTGCATGTAAACCAGCATTTGCAGCTAAGATCTGCAGAGGCTGCTTTGTGGGGAAATCCAGCACATTTTAGGGGTGGCTTATCTTCTAGGTAACCCCACATTCACCGTGGCAACCTTCATTAGTTCAGAAGTCCGTATGTTTTGGGCTCCAGGCGATGCCACCATTACCACTGCCAGCCTAGCATGTACCCTGAGCCCAGTCACATTTCTTGTATAAGGATACTAGTTTCTCCTTAGGTCCTAGCTGCAGACAGTAGTCGCTGCTTTCTGTCACCAAAACCTTGGACCCTGCTAGTCCTGTCTTCCTGGGGTGGAATCTGGAATGGTTGTGCACATCTGCACTAGTGGGTTTTGCACATTTCTTTTATAATTTTAGATCTCTTTAATCTGTCTATATAGCTGTCTTACTGGTCGCTTCCTCCACAATGGATTTTGGAGGTTTTTTTCTGTAGAAATGTACGTCATTTCTTGAGAAAGAAACAGCATTTCTGCTTCTCACACCAGAGAGACTCTCACCCAAGCTTTCCCAATCCTCCTTGAATAGTGATTCTGGCACGCCCCGTTGGACACGGGGTGTCATTTTCTCTGGCTGTTGACTGTTGAGGTTTTATGAACTCATTTGGAAGGTTAGTTGGAAGCCCATGCACCACATAGATAAATCCACGAGTAAGTGAATGGATGAATATAGATATGTACAGTGAACC